GTCGCAGATGCCTATCAGAGCCCGGGCCACCTCTGTAAAGCTGCTCACAAGCTTTGGCTGAAATAGCTGTGACAAAAAGCGACGTAGCTAAGCCTCAATAAGGCTTTCTCTGAATCCTCCCTGTAAGGAGCACAAACTTGGGCTGGGGAGCACCCTGGGAAGCGCTTGCTCCCATCTGAGAATTCAGAAGCTGGTGGTACTTCCAGGTGAGAAGCTGTTTCAGTCCCTCCTCCCCATGCCTGCCAAGGGCTCAGGGCCTTTAGCTGCATTGAGGCTCTTACAATGCACTGGAAAAAAAAAAAGGGGAAAAAAGGGGAGGGGGAAAGGGGGAAAAAAAAAAGGGCGGGGGAGGAGAGAAACTCTTACCAGCCAGCTGGATTTACTATTAGCATGATTGCAATTCACAGTCCTGTGTCCGAGACCGCTGCTTGCCGAGGAATTCCCACCCGCGGCGGGGTGCCACGGCCGGACAGCCTGTAATTAGTAGAGATACCCCCCCCAAAAGAAAAAAAATCCGCTCCCCGGTGGCAGCAGCGGGCAGGGGCCCGGCCGTGCCGGGAGGGGTTTGCCCGGGAGATGGCAGCAGAGACAAGGCGAGCGGGAGGGAGCGGGCCCCGGGAGGGATGTCACGAGTGGGCCCGGGGTGCTCGGCCGCGGGGCTCCGCGGGGACGCCCAGGAAAACGGGGCCGGGGGGCACGGGCAGGGAAACCAGGCAGGCAGCGGCAGTCTAGAGTTTGCAGCCGAAACCCGGAACAGCGCAGCTACACCCAAGGGTGCAACTGCTGGTGCAAAAAAAAAAACCCAGCCAAAAACCAAAACCAAAACCCACCTTTCTCATCCACGGTGTGTTTCTTGTTAGCCTGCGTGGGCACTGCTGCTCCATCACACGGCAGCGAGCATCCCAGCCCTCCTGTTCCTCCGAGTCTGTCCGAAACGCAACCCTCGAGGAGCTACTTTGGTACGCGCGACAGACTGGGCACCCCAAAGACACCCAACCTTTGGGCAGCATTGCCTGCACCAGAGCTGGCACCGAGCAAGATGGGACAGAGGAGGGTGAAGGAGGAGCTGAAAGGCTTTAGCCCCAACGATCGGACCATCCCTGCAGCGAAGGGTCATCTGTGCCCAGCAATAACAAGAAAGGAAGTTTTTCACCTGTCAGGCCCGAGGACAACCTGTCCTGTTACCTCCTGCACAGTCCCGGCTCGTCTGGCCAACTGGGAGCCCAGTGACCCCCACTGGTGCCCTCCAGCCCCAGTGGGCAGAGGAGGGCTGTACTAGGACCCCCATCCGCTGGGCTCTCCCTGTCTCCTGACTGCAGCCATGGGAAGCCCAGCTGTGCACCCCACTCAGCACCCGGGGGGCTGGGGATACTTGTGGGAAACACCATGTCTCCAGGGTGCAGGAATTGCCCCCCACCCCTGACCCCATGGTCTCTGTGGGGAGCGTGCCTGGGTGTCCTGCTCAGAGAGGTGGGTGCCCTGCACCCCTCTGGAGGGTTAGAGGTAGAAAGGACAGGCACCGCTCTCACTAACACTCTTGCACACCATCTCTGTGACTCATTTCGGCACCTCTCTGGCACGCACCATGGCTCACCCTGCAAAACAAGGGACTCGAACACCCATGAACTCCACCTCAAAACCCCCCTGGGAGCCATAAAATAAAGGGGATGAGCAAGGTTACACTTCATCCTTCAGCTCCTCCACTCGTTCCCCTGAGCCCCTCCTGCCAGGGAGCATTTGGGAAGGGCAGACCTGCCAGTGGCCACTCGATCACGTCAGTACCTGGGAAGGATCCAGCTATTTTCAAGCCAGGTGAAGCAGGTCCTCCTTGATTTTAAAACCAGAGCAGCACTAGGAGGAAAAACAACTGAGTATCATCTCAGGGGTCAGAGCTGAAGACCAGGAATTTGTGAAGTGTTAGTGTGAGTTGCCCCTCAGCTAACAGCGGATACAGGCAGGCTGGCCAGGGAAGGCAGAAAGGCCGAAGGAGGGAATGGTGACAACTCCATCCCAGAACCGCAGCTCTGCAAGGACAGGCAGGCAGCCAGGCTTGCGCTCCGGGGATTCGCAGAGTACTTGTCCAGATCGCATTGCAAAAACAAGGCGCTTTTACGCTGAGGGCAGTTTTGGAAAGTACACGGGATTCTTACAACCAAGAGATGAAGCCCTGGAGGAGAGAGAGAGAGAGAGAGAGAGAGAGAGAGACAAACATATGTTGTTCCAAGCAGCACATCCAAGAACCTGTCACAGCTGCAAGAGGCACACGAACATGAAGATCACAGGCATACGTCACCAATTTACTGACAAACAGCAGCTCCCACAGACCAAAGGTCAGGCCTGGGAACACACAGCTCTGCTTTACTAGGTACTAGAAGCAGATTCTCAGAGGACCTTCAAGAGCACACCAGTGACGAACCAGGCAACAAGGAGCAGAAGTGTTTGCTACTCCCTCACCCCTGAGGGAGCCTGTGTACTAGTCCTAATTTGTTTCCTCCATCCCCGCTAATCCTAATCACCCAGAGTAGGAGTTCCCACCAGGGAGGAGGGAATTAGATCTTCTCAAGGACAATAATCCATTTAAATACAGCACTTCCTAGGAGACTCAGCACTTTTCCCAGCAAGCAGCCCTGCTCTCTGCACAGCCTGCCTTCTCCCATGTGCCCGGGGAGACACGAGATGGGTCCCATCCCTCAAGAGCACCAAGCTGTCAGAGCAGAGGGGCTTGGAATGGAGAAGCAGCAGCTTCCTCCAAGTCTTGCTTAAGAGATGAGCTGCTTTAGTCCAAAATGGCATGAAGTCACCTGTGGACTTGCTCCCAGAGCAGCTGATCCCACAGAAGCTGAAAAAGCTCTACACCCACTTGAAGACCCACATCAGTTAAACAGGGTTGGCTTGAAACTTGGTTGAGCAAGACTCTCTGCACATTGCTCTCCTATGTTTGAGGGCAGAAAAACGTGCTGCTGTCATCAGGGGACATGCACAAGCTCATTTCTACCTCCCTCTGTGCCTTCCGGCTGCAAGGGGACAGCCCTCTCAAAGTGCTGTCACAAAACTGATCACCAGAGAAGGGATGGACTCACCTCATTGTGCCATACTGCATCTGCTTTACTTGCCTGGAGGAGCTTCAGTAGCTCCAGAAACCCAGTGACGCTGGTCCCACAGGAGTCACTTGTGGGTCAGATGCTGAAGGCAGCTCGGGAGCAGCTGACAAAGCTCCTTTGAGCTGCAGAGCTCCCTGTTACCCAGCTCCCAAAAGTAATTTCAGATCAGAAACAGTCCAAAAAGCCAATTTTAGAAAGTACCAGTTTATTTGAGGAAAAAAAATAAAATAAAAATCAGTAACAGTGGAAAATCCCCAGAGCAATGACACAAGAGAATCTAAATATCCCGAGAAGCAGCACCACTCCTGCCTTTCTGGTAATGCTGTCCATAGCCAGTAAAGTTCTCACTCTCCTTCCCAGTCTACGGTGAACTCTGTGTGGATTTTAGAGCCTCCCAGAGCCCACAGTTTCCCCAAACACGCTTGTACTGTGACCAAGTAAGTGAGTCAAACTGGAGGAGGACCCTTGGGAAAAGTCCTCTTGCACTGATGTCTCAATACTCGGCTCCCCTGCGTTCCCCACTTCGCCTGCCTAGCTCTGAAAAGCAGGTTCAGCTGGTGGCAGCTGAAATTCTTTGTTCTATAGCCTCTGAATTTGGCCTAAAGCCTACAACAAAGCCTCAGTAAGGAGGCTTCGGGAGTCAATAAGCTCTCTAAAGAACCTTTGCAACCATCTGGTTTTGTGCAGCCTACCCAGTTACTTAATTTGGAGACCCACACTCAGATTTTGTCTTAAACCACACCAGATTCAAAGAGCTGCAGGAGGACATGACTTGTGCAAAGTAGTTCTGTAACACCTTCCTGCAACAGAGGCATTGGACACGCACATTACCCTTCACTCTAGGAGCCCTGGGGGAATTGGTCTAACTCTCAGCAGAGGTAGGAGCTATGTACATGATATATTAAGAAAGACCCACCGCAGGAGGTTCAGAGCTAGCCATCTATGAAAGCTCAATGCTCCCAGGTAGGAGATGCCACCGAGACAGACTTCTAGCTACCAAAGCCAGCCTTCTGCAAGAGGCAGGTACTCAGCACAGTACCACAGGGGACTCTGCAGCGCAGCCAGCTCCCAAAACAAAAAGTTATTTTCTCTGTACTGGGAGCTTCCAACGTTTGCTTCAAAGAGCAACTCCAGATAGGGATCTCTGCTCCAACTCTGAGGATCAAACCCAACCCATCACTGACCGCAGCCTGCTTCCAGGCACAGCCTGGGACACAGCAACGGAGCCTGCAGGGCTCAGGCTGCTCCCAGCTGCCTTCCCTAGCACAAGCCCACCTGTCCTCTAGACAAGACACTGGACAAACAGCAGTACAAACGAGATCAAGCCTCTTACATACTGTAAAGCTGCTGAAGAATTAACTCCAGCCTTCTCACTCTTAACTGTATATTTCTCAGTAAAACATATAATATATAGCTCTATAGTACTGATTATAATATATTACAGGCTAGAAATACTCTCATCTTTTCCCTACTTCAATCATATTATGAATCCAATTTTGCATACAGATTAATCCTAGAAGTTATTGCCTTGAATTTATAATTAAAATTCACAGAATAAAGCTTAAATAGTTTTCACAGAGACTCATTATATTAGTGTTTTACATAAAAAGGATAGAAGTTACCAAATGAGAAGAGCAGCCATTTCAGAAACTATAAATAATTCTATTTTTAAAAAAATCAAATCCTAAAAAAGTTATGGGAAAACCATAAATATCTTTATCCTCTACAGTAGCTGCTATAGAACTACAAGAAACCTGTAACACACTGTAGCTAACTCTGCTTCAGTTCAGAATATGAATCATATAAAACAACATCTCTAGAGAAATGCCCAGCCAAAGGAAACACAAAGGGATTGAAAAAATAAATCTGAGGAAATTAAAAAAGTAATTTTTTTTTATTCTTTCAAAACAATTTCTACAAACTTTTATATAAACATTAGGCTATTTTCTTTAAAATTTTGTTATAAAAATATCCTACAAGCAATCCTCAAAAAAGTTAACGAGACTGAAGGCAAGGAAAGGGTGTCATCGTAGCCAAACAAAACTAGCTGTCCCGATTTCATGGACTAACGACCCTTGCCTGGGGCTGACAGGAAGAGACAGAAGTCTCCTGGGGAAAACATTCCCATAGGACCTTTATGGCATTCAGGGATTTTGAGCCACTATGGGCCTTTTACTCCCTGATAAGGCAACATTATCTGTAGTGTAAGAGATACATAAATAGTTCTCCACAAAAATGCTTCACATCAACAGCCTGCTGCAAGACATCTATTAGCAAGGTTTATAAAAAAAGCCATCTTCTATAGAAGCAGCCAATCTGAGCACAGCACACTGGATGCAAACACATGGTGTTTGCTTCCATACAGTCTGTTTTGTGTTTATATACCCTCTATAAAACCAAGCAGAAAATTTGGCATCTTTATTCTTTTCACACTAGCTTTAGGAAAAAAATACACTGAGGGTTTTTTCAGACTCTTTGTATTTCATTGGGCCCTTGTTAGCTGAGCAGGATGGGAAGGATCACGTAGGAAGTTTGTTTTTTCTCACAGTTGCTTTGATATTCAATCCCAAAAGAGCATTTGTTCAGCACATCTCAGCTGAGGGCACAGTGTTTCCATACAGTCTGTTCATCCCTTGATGGGCACAAGGTGCTGCTGAGCTTTAAGCATAGAACTCATTTGTAGGGGCTTTCTTGTAGATCGGTTTCTTCCCAAGGTCGTAACTGCCTTCATCCTTTTTCTTCATGCGATAGACTAACAGGAGGATCAGGAAGACAGCAAACAGGAGGCCCACCGCCCCTCCTGCAATGAGAGCTGAGGAGGAAAAAAGAGCACGAATAAGTCTAAACTTCTGGACAACTCCAAACAATCAGCTACATCTCAAAATCTGCTTAAGGATACCAGCCCCCAGAACTGCCTCCAGTGTCAGCGTTGCCCTTGTGTCTGTCACCATACATGCTGGCATTTTCAGTGACAGCAGATGCTATTGGAAAATGCCATAAATTGCTTTCAATCCAACCATAGAATAATCACATGTTCCACATCAAACAGTTCATGTTAATCTTCTGGTTTAGTGCAAGAAAAATTGTGACAAAAAGACATCCTCCCTGCGTGGAGACAAAGCAAAAAAACCCACCCAAAAAAGCCCCACCACAACCCACAAACAGCATCAACTCCAGGAAAATGGTATAGCTCTGATCTGAATGCTTTGTTAACTACCTGTGTGAGCACACTCTGGGGACTCTGCATTTCAATTAAATAGCAACATCCTACTACCACCACACCTCCCTCCAAAGAACACTCTAACAACCAAAAACCACAAACCCACAAAAACCCACCAAGATTTTCTCTCTCCTCACACCAAGGGTAGCCACAAGACTCCAGTGAAGTTTATCCTTTGCTGTGCACCTACTCGTTGCACTCCAACAGCTTCTCTGTTAGGTGGCTTTGCAATCCACTCTTCCAGTCACTCCTCCAACTGGAAGGATGGCTGCAGATCAGCAAGATGTGCCAAGGTTTGTACTTGGACCATCAGGCCAAGTACTTGATGAAGCGTGCCTTGAGACAGATCTGTCCCACATGCTGAGGGGAAGCCAGTCACTTGGTTTTGCTCTAGACAGAGGTACTTAGATTTGTAACAGTTGACTAGGTGTTCAAATCCCTTAGAGGGGTTGTTTGGTTCTTGGCAAGGCTCACAAAAAGGCAGGACTTGGGCAAAGGTTAGAAGGCAAATGCCTCCATTTGATATGAAAGTCTATGATGTCATTGATTTATGGCTAGATACACCTCTTGTTAAGGTAGTATCTGAGAGCAGAGCAGCTGCTACATAACTTAAGTGGCACTTAAGCCAACACCCAGCTGGCAGGCTCAAAACCAATCTGTTTAGCCCAGCAAGGCAAGCAGTAGGCTCTTCTGCCATTTAAGGACTAGAAGGCAAAAGTGACCTTGCTACAGGTACTCACAGAGGTAATGCATCTCACTCCCCTTGTGAGCAGGGAACTGCTCCTCAGAAAAACAGGGAACAATAGAAACTATTTTGATTTACAGTATTAATGATTTATCAGGACAAGGTGGAGTATTACCTGTAAGGACTTCTGTTCTTTCAAAAATGCTGCTGTTGGCTGTGCTTGCCATGGAGATCTTGTTGGACAGGTTCTCTTTGACAGGTACAGCTTCGTCTGGAATGATTTCATTGTCCACCATTGTATTTTTCTTCTCACCTTCTATCTTTCTCTCAGTATCTCCAGGGATATAGTTGTCAGATACCTACAGAATATAGACAAACCACACCCATCAGTGGTAGCACCCAGTAGCACCCAGCCTACCTACAATTGAAAGTAGGAAGGTGTGCAGGGAAAAGAAAGTTTGATTAGTGCATTACAAGTACACTGTTCCTGCTCATGCAGGTAGATTCATCTTGATGCCACGTCTTGCAGGGGGAAGGGTATTCAGAAAGCTTCACAGACAGACCAGAGTAGCTACGTGTTGCTTATAACATGCAGAGGCAATACCTACCACAGGAGTATCCATGGTGGTCAGATATATGGCATCTTCAGAGTCTGAGTAGTCTGCATGGGGTGGGGAAGAAAAAAAAAAAAAGAGGACACTAAGTTTTCGTCTCATTATTTTTCCAGAATTCAGACAATTCCCGCAATGCCAGCAAGTGCAGACAAAGACTCTTATTCTCTGCTGACTACAGTTCCCCCTTACCTACTAGTACTTTTGCCATTTAATGGCTTTGATTGAACAAGATGATGAGACATAATCTTAAAACCAACACCTCTTGCATGGGAGGGGTCTTCAGCTGGATCCACTGGCCCCTGCTGCAGATCATCAGGAGTTACCCTGCAAAGCAGGTCTGCTATAGCTCGCTAAGCTAATGCCAATGGAAGGCAATGCTCTCACCACCCATCCCTAAAGGATAGTTCGCCAAACCTCTAGTTACTGGATCTGCCTAAACATGTTGGGCACCGATTTCAGCACTTGTTCTTTCCCCTTTAGAGAACAAATGTTCACATAAAGGGGACACGGAGCTACAGAAACTGGTTTGGGCAGGGAACTTTGCATGTCACAGAGTTCACTTGAACATCAGTTAGTCCTTTACCTTGTTTGGCCTCAGCTGAGATACTAACTTTAAGCCTTTTAACACTGCCTCAACAACAGATATGTTTTTAATTATTATTTTTAAATTTTTTTAAAGTTTCTCAGAAGTTCTTTGGAGTTCAATATGAAAGAGATCCAGCCACTGCAATGCCTCTTCACTTGCAGCAAGACAAGCCTGGCTGGACTCCATCTGTCCTCCCCGAGTGATTCAACATCATGGTACAACCACTTTCACTGTTCTCATCTGTGAGTGACTACGATTCACACGGCTTTCTCATCTCCACCTGACACTAGTTCCCTCTGGAGCTCTGGCTCTGCCCTTAGCCCATCACTCATGGGCTGGTGCCAGAAGAAATTTCACAGCATCAACTGAGGGAGATCCATTTCCCCCCCTTCCCTGCGTACCTCCAGACCCAGATGCCTCATCTATATCTAACCCATCAGAAGTTAAGCGAGGCCTGAATTCGCCAATGTCTTCATCATCTGGCAAGTCTCCGGAGGCAGGGTAGTCAAGCCATCGGGCATCCATGGTCTCTGTTTCTCTCACCTGTAAAGGGGAGTGGAAAAGTGTTAAGTATCAGGCAACTCCTCAGAAGCATTTCACAAAAGGTCAGGAGTTCAGAGCCTGTGCTGAGCACATCAATTCCATCAGAAGAACATTAAAAGCTGAACTTCCTCTCCACCAAGAGCATTATCTTCACCAGCCTGGAAATAGCCAAATTCCCCTAGAGTTTCTCAGAACAGAAGTGAGAGCCAGCCTGGGAGGGGAATTTCCCGATGGCTACAGATTCAGGAGGTTCGCTTGAACACACAGGGTGAAAATAACACAAGATCTTGGTCAGGAGTTTGCAGCAAAAGCATTTGGAAAAGCAATACCTTCAGTTTGTGATAAGTGGGGATTTGGAAGGACTTGCTACTCCCAGAGAAAAAGCCTGGCACCTATAGGTCAGTTTTTTGCATAGCACCAAAGCCTCATGCTGAGGCAATTCGTTGCTTCTTGTACTGAGAACAAACCTATTTTATCACCCAAGGGTTAGAAACTGGTCTGTCAGTTCAGCTGAATTGCAGTGCGATATAGTATGACATTCAAGAGCACTTGCTATCGGTAATGACTTGCCTGAAGGAAGAGCTTGCCCTGCCTCACTTCTTAAAAGGCATGTAAACAAACAAGTCTGTAAAATGAAGTCCACGATCCTATGGCCAGATCAGTTACAGACACACCTTAGCAAAATGGCAGGAAAGCCTCCCAGAGAATCAGCTGTTTGGCCACAATGGCAATTTACACACCAGAGCTTGTTTGCACTTGGACCTTCAAGGAGCCGCAAGCACAAACCTCCTGCCCTCACCAAGGTTATGCAATTTCCCCAGAACTATTTCTCCTTGCCCCACAGCCCTGGGGCCAGCCCTGGTCAGGGCACCACAGGTATGAGCTCTCAGGTTGCTTAACACCAGCCTGCAGATTCCAGCAGCTCCAGATGTTTCCACATCCATGAAGTCATGGGTGTGGGGAACTTGACCCCTTCCCCTACGGCAAGAAGTCCCATAGCTAGGGGCAAGGCTGTCAACATTTTTTCATGCTGTCCCCACAGAAAAACTGGCAAGTCTTTCTGAAGGCTTGTCTACCCAGGAGAGCATTTTTAAAACATCCCTTTACTCCATAGTCCTGCACATCCAACGGCTCTTCTTAATGTACCGGTTCACCATGAGCTACAGCCTCACAGGGGTGAGGATCAGAGACTCGTGGGGACAGTTAGAGCTGGGTGGCACCACTGGAGCCCCAGCGCTTGCTGCTTCATTGGGGCAGCAGAGAGACCCTGAGCAGCTGGCACCAGCCTTCCTGCTTGCACACCCAGGTGTGGCCCATCCTACAGCCCAGCAGTGACACCGACTGATGAATTACATCCACTTGCAAGCGAAGACCAACAATCAGCCACAACCCATGTGTCAGCTTCCTCTGTCCACAGCCCCAGCCCTGATTCCAGCCCAGACTTCCCTGCCCATTAGTATACTGGTTTTGCCACAAACAAGACCTTGTGGTCAGGACAAGATGTTTCTCATTTTGCATAAGGAGCAGTGGCTACTAGATGTGCTTTTCATTAGCTTATTGAGGCATCTTTGGTTTCCCCAGCAACTCTGCTGGAAGATAACCAAATGAACAGCCTAGAGGGCATGAAGTGCTGAGGCCGGCTCTCCTCCTAGACCCCCTGTCTCCACTCTGCTTGAGCTTGGCATTAGGTGATGGGAAGGGGGCTGGGGAAGAAGGCCAGCTGGGAAGAAATCCCCTCCCAGCCTGGAACCGGGCATTCCTAACATTATGGATCACTCGCTCCAAGGCAAATTCATTTCAAGATATGTGAAACCCAGCCAAAGCCAGACCTGCTATGGAAACTGCTGCCAGCATGCAGTAGCTGTTCCCAGGACAGCTTCTGGCCATTTCATCAAGGGGCAGGAAGAGCCCAATTCCCATCTGCCCGAGATAGGGCACTGGGGCTGGGGAACACGTTTGCTGCAGATCTGTATAACTTGGCTGCGCCAGGGCAGACCAATGTTGGCAAAAGCACTGCGCTGAGCCGCACCCCTGTGCCAGCTCATGCCGTACTTTGTTATGAGTCACAGCTAGCTAATGTCCTAATGAGGGCGGCTCAAGAAAACCTGCGTTTAAGCCACCAAGTGGCTGGACAGCAGGCTGGCCTTATCAGATCAGCCCAGCCGTGAGCAAAGCCGTGGCAGACAGTCACAGTGATTAGTACATACAGTGGAACGCACCAGGTTTGGCTATCAGAAAAACCTATTTAAATCAGGACAGACAGTGTTTACAGGCCAGAGGACATAACAAGGAAATTACTGACTCACAAGCTTAAAGGAGATTATATGGGAGCGTTCCCCGAACTTGCTCTTCATCATCCTCTTGAGCAAGGACAGGGAAGTTCCTGGAAGCCATGAGAGCTTCTCAAACCATACTGGAAACTTTTCTTGTGGGCAGCGAGCCTCATTTTACAGATTCATCTGCCAGGGAAGTAAGAGGGCTGCTGGGCACCTCCACACTTACAGTCCAGGTTTCGAGACATGCTCTCCTAAGGAGCAGGCTCCCACTGGGACCTGGGGCACGGGCAGCCCAGGAAGAGTTAACACTGGAGTGCCGTGTTCACGGGGCAGGTCTGGAGCAGGCACATTCCTCGCATACACACCTGCGAGAAGGCACACAGGCACTTTCACAGACTTAAAAGCAAGGGCTTCAGGCTTCCCAAGTGCCACATAAAGAGCTCGCTGGAGTATTGCTTAAAAAGTGCACCTCTTTCCAAGAGGATTCAGGCCTCCCTACAGCTCCGCTACCAGGTGAACAGGCCCCATGGAAGGTGCCTGTGCTTCCTCTCAGCTGGCAGGCTGCAGCCAAGACGAAAAAGCTAGGAAACTGCCGCAGGACGATGGTCAGCCCTTGCCAAGTCGTCTCTGGCCACATTCAGCTTAACACCTTCTGCAACTGCCAGCTGGAGAAGGGCACCAGCGCTGCGCGGAGTCTCCTTTCCACCACCTGTTATCTCAGCACTGGAGCCAGGCCAAGGACTTGCTGGCAGAGTCGGACTGGGAGGCTGCACAGCCCCACCTCACCTCAGCAGCTGAAGTCGAGCCCTACTATTAATATGCTCCTCTCTAGGAGCGGTCTGTACAAAAATCAACCTTTTCTGCAGGAGTCTAGTTCCAGGATTTCTTCCTTGTGTTAAGCAGCTTTATCCCCAGTAAGCACCAAGGGGGATTAACCAACATGCTGGGGAGCAGAAGCTTTTCCTGCCTGCCAGTGGCAAAAAAATAAGTTTATTCCCCGCCAGACAACCAGCATGTCAGGCACGTGAACTATGAGCGTCATTCCTGGAAAAGCCAGGCACAGAGGTCTCATGTTTGAGCCTGAGACTGGCTGCACTACTGGATGAAGCCAGACACTGTTTGCTCAGTTCAGGCACAGGAATCACACCCCTGGTACCCCAGGCAGGGGCTTGCAGCTATGCTGTGCTCCATCCCTAGCCCACCCTGCTCCATTCTGTGCTCCTGGGGCCTTCACTTACAGCTCCAGCATACCACTAGCCTCTTCTCAAAGCAAGAACATCTATTTATTGAGGGAGCAAGCAAAGTTTCTGTTCGATGTGTGCATTTCCCCAGCCGCTGGCTAGTTCTGGGAAATAACAAACACAGGCAGCTCGCCTGCCACAGCCCACACATCCTCACCACAGCCTTTGCAAACCGCTTAAAAAAAACCCAAAACGATGTTTGGGGGCAGAGACAAAGGTTTCCAGACATGGAACGGGCTTTTACGGCTGGTCCTTTTCTCTGATCAAACACAGAGTTCATTAAATCTTCTTAGAAGGGTCACAGCCAGCAAGCTGCAAAGGAAGTCAGACCTGCAGACACTCAGGCATCCGAAATGCAGGGAGCTTTTTATCAAGTTTATAACTTTGGCACAGAGACCCAGCACTCGCTCCTGCATCTCCCTCCCCAGCACTGTGTACACAAGTCTAGCAGTAAACAGGAGCAAGGTGAAAGTCAATCTTTCCTAGACAAAAGCACATGGAGCTGGGCCAGCCTGGGAGGTGGCAGAAGAGAGGGCAGAGGTGCAGACCTGTTAACTCTTTGTAGTCTGTAGGGACAGATAAATGTAAACTGCTGCTGGGGCTTTTCTCAGGTGCTCTGTACTAGGGGACAGTTGTACAGATCACCTCATTTCACTTCAGCGAGCAGTATTACACAATATATCTTTCCCAGGCCTGTGCTGTCACGGACAGATGTCACCTCACCACCACAATGCATATCTGAATCAGCTCAACAAGAAAGGGCTCCTGGATGACACGAGCAACAGGCCATATGCCCCAGCCTTGGAGCCTGGTTATTAAGAGATCGTTCTTGCAAAGCTACCACCCTGGCCCTCGTGCTGTCCTGCATCATGAACCAAAGAGCACCGAATCCAATGGGGCCTTTCCAGTGCAAGGATGCAAAGCTCTGTAAACCACCGAGCCCAAGAGAAGGGATTTCCATATGGTTCACTTCCACCAAGCTCTTGCAGAAGCACGCAAACCAGGAAGGTTTTAAAGCTCACACAAAGCATGCAAAGGAGCAGGGGTTAGGAGCTGAGCTCATCCCCTTGAAGCACGCCAGCTCCCCAAAAGCAGGAAAGCTGAAGAGCCACACAGTGCTGGAAACGGGGTGGCTCAGATCGGTGAGAGTCAGCCAAATAGAGCTGACCTCCAAGGGAGGGAGGCGTGCAGTGAGGTAACAGGCAAAGACAGCTCTATCTTCCCATCTTAATAAACATTAAAAGAAAGTTATTAGAAGCGACATGAGCTTCCGGCAGAGGCAGCTCCTGCCAGACTAGTAAGGGAAGGGTCTATATTTCCTCCCAAAAGACCCTTTACTCCCTCCTCTCCCCTCCCTCCATGCTCCAGCTCTATGTAGGGGGAAAAAAAAAAAACCCAACCCAAAACAAAAGTCACTTTTGTCCTGAGAGGAAAGCAAATATCAGTATTTCAATCTAGGTCACACCTAACTCCTTCAACACAT